GCCTCTGGGTGCTATGAGTCTTTTCCTGATCTACTTCTGGACCCAGGGCTTAGAAAAGCAGACCTTGGTGCATATTTTGCTCCTGCCCAAACATACCCAGCCCTGGCAGAGGAAACCAGAAGCTATGGAGTGTGGAAAACTTCAAACAGGGTTCTCAAGTCCAGTCATAAACAGTATCTCACATTGGCCTGCACCAGAGACCATCCAAAAGACTGGGAGTCCTAGTAGGTCTACCTAATACATAGAAACAAATCCAAAAACGCAGCCAAAATGAGGAGACAAAAAAACAAGTCCCAAGTGAAAGAACAAAAGAATTCTCCAGAAAAAGAGCTAAATGAAATGGAGATAAGCAATCTATCAGATACAGAGTTCAGAATACTGATCATAAGGATGCTCAACAGCATGAAAAGAGATGTAGAAACTATGAAGGAAATGAAGACTGTCATAGCAGAAATAAAAAAACACTGGAAGGAAGAGCAGACTAGGGGAAGCTGAGNTAACCAAGAAGGAAAAGTGGAGACCACATAGAGACGGGTAGGAAGTGTGAGGTGCGAGGGGCTGGCTGCGCTCCCACAGGCAGCAGCTGAAGGTCCGGAGGGAGATCTCAGCTGTGGGGNGGATCACATCAGCAAATGAGAAGACGGTAGAAAAAAATCAATCAGAGATTAAAAAGAAAAAACAATTTAAAAACGGACAGTTTAAGGGAGCGGTGGGACAACATGAGACGCAACAATATTTGCATCATAGGAGTGCCAGATGATGTAGAAAGTAAGCGAAGGTTAGAGAACCTGTTTGAAGAAATAATGGCAGAAAACTTCCCTAAACTGGTGAGGGAAAAAGTCACACAAGTTCAGGAGGCACAGTGAGTCCCAAGTAAGAAGAACCCAAAGAGGCCCAGGCCCAGAGACGTCGTCATTAAAATGCCAAAAATTCAAGACAAAGAAAGAATCTTAAAGGCAGCAAGAGAAAAGCAAATTGTTACCTACAAAGGAGCTCCCATAAGTTTGTCAGCTGATTTCTCATCAGAAACTCTACAGCCAGAAGGGAATGGCATGAAGTATTCAAGGTAATGCAAAACAAGGATGTGAAACCAAGGCCACTCTATCCAGCAAGGTTATCATTCAAAATAGATGGTGAAATAAAGAGCTTTCCAGACAAAAAAAAGCTAAAAGAATTTATCACCACCAAACCAGCATTGCAAGAAATGTTAAAGGGACTGCTGTAATAATAATAAGAAATAGAGAAACAGGCATACAGAATTAAAATGGCAATAGATAAGTACCTATCAATAATAACCTTAACTATAAATGGATTAAATATCCCTGTCAAAAGACATAGAGTAGCTGAGTGGATAAGAAAACAAGACCCAAATAGTTGCTGTCTATAAGAGACCCACCTTAGAACAAGACTCACACAGGCTAGAAGAAAAAACTTCTGAAGGAACTTAAAGGAGAGATCGACAGTAATACAGTCATAGTAGGGGACTTTAACACCTCACTGACTTTACAGGATAGATCTTCCAAGAAGGAAACAGTGACTCTAAATAACACACTAGCTCAGATGGATTTAATTGACATTTACAGAACATTTCACCCCAAAACTGCACAGTATACATTCAAGTGCACATGGGACCTTCTCAAAGACAGACCACATGTTAGGACACAAAACACGTCTCTACAAGTTAAAGAAGACTGAAATCATATCAAGCATCTTCTCGGACATTTACACCATGGAATACTATGCAGCTGTAAAAATGAAGGATCCCTTGCCCTTGGAGACAGCATAGTGGGACCTGGAGAGTATTATGCTAAGTGAACTAAGCCAATCAGAGAAAGACGAGTACCACATGATCTCACTCATATGTGGAATCTAATGAACAAAATAAATCGATGAACAAAATAATTCCTGAGACACAGAAACATGGAACTGATGAATCTCAGAGGGAAGGCAGGAGTGGGTGGGTGGGGACTAACCTAAGAATTTATATGCATATATGCATAACTCATGGATACAAACAATAGTGGGGTGAAGGCCTGGGGGGAAGGGATCAATGGGGGAAAAGGGGACATTTGTAATACTTCCAACAATAAAGATACATATATGTGTGTGTGTGTGTGTTATATATATCTACAAATTCTTGCTAACTGACCAAGTTCTGAAATCTCAAGAATATGAATGCTGCTCTGGATGGTCAAATTGCTGAGCCAAAGAGCGTAGACTGTGACCAGTCAATGTGCCCCCTCCCCCAAATACACACACACCCTTCCTTAACCTCCCATGCAGGACAGAGCTCAAAGAGTCATTCCTATTCAACCCTCCTTTTTTAAATTAAACTGATTGGGGTAACATTGGTCAGGGCACATGCAGGAGGCCACCGATTGATGTTTCTCTCTCTCTCCCTCTCAAAAAAAAATCAATAAAAACATATTCTCCGGTGAGGATTTAAAAAATTAAAGGATAAAAATCTATCTCTAGTTCTTCCAAATCCCCATATATGCAGGGATATAGTGACAAATTGAAACACTAAACATTGCATTTACACATCAGCAAAAAAAGTGTGAACAACTTAAACTTTTAGGGGCTGCACTTAACTTCATATTAAGCAATTTCAAAGTTTCCCAAAAGGACAAGTTCTCACTCTGACTACTGAACACCCCACAGCAGGTGAGCTGCACCCTGGGTTTGCTGATGGGCCAAGTGCTCAACCTCTTTCTGGGCCTGAGCTCGGAGGTCTGGCACTGGCTCAGCGCTTCAAGCAGAATCAAGCAGGATCAAAGGGGCCAGCATGGAAGCACCCAGCTATGCTAAAACCCTACACAGT